TCCTGTGGGTACCCTCTTCTGCACCTGAGAAGAAACCACCACCGTGAAACCCTTGGAGGAGCCGTCTGTAAAGACTGAGCGAGCTCCAACTAGAGGGTTCTCCTTTAAAATCTTGGGAAAGATCACAGGGTGTTGTTTGAAAAAAGACATCAAGGGGCTGTTGGGATATTGGTTATCAAACTGTGCGCCTGTAGATGTAATAAACAGGGTCCACCCATCATGGAAGATCTGTAGATGTTCCACCTCCTCCTTACCATAAGGAAGGATAATTTTATCAGGACTCTTTCCAAAGGTTTGAATGCTAAACTTGTGTGCCTTCCACAACAATTGTAAAATGAGATCATAGTAAGGGGTCACTACCTTCTTAGGGGAGGCTGACAAATGTACCCAATAAATAGGACCAGTCTGCCAAAACACGGCAGTGGGCGAAAAGCTAGATGAAAGTACAACCAGAACAAGGGGCTGCCCATAATCTATACGCCGAAGGTGGGCTTGCTCTATACTTCTTAACAACAATTGTAGGGCTTCCCTGGCCTCTGGGGTAATCTGTCTAGGGGAAGTTGGAGCAGGGTCCCCAGGAAGAATATCATAAAGCGCTTTAAGAGCCCCTGTTTTAATAGAAAGAGAAGGGCAAAACCATTGCACCTCTCCCAAGAATCTCTGCCAATCATGAAGTGTTTTTAAATTTGAACAATCGATTTGGAGTCTTTGTGGCCGGAGGCCAGTTTGTTGAATTTGATGACCCAAATAAGTATAAGGGGGTCTCTTTTAGATCTTTTCAGGAGCCAAAATAAATCCACGGGCCTCCAGAAGTTCCTGTAGCTCTGCAAAGGCTGTGTAACATTGTCTTTCTTCGGCCGCGGCCAAAAGAATATCATCCATGTAGTGGATAATGTAAAGATCAGGGAACTTACGTCTGAGGGGATCTAAACAGGCAGCTACATAAATCTGGCATATAGTTGGACTATTAGCCATCCCTTGGGGGAGCACCACCCATTGGAAGCGAAGGGCAGGCTCCCTAAAGTTAATCGCAGGAAGGCTAAACGCAAACCGAGGACTATCTTGAGAATGCAAGGGAATAGAAAAGAAGCAATCCTTCAAATCAATAACAATCAAATGCCAGTCTCTAGGAATGGCCACAGGCACGGGCAAGCCAGGCTGCAGAGCCCCCATAGGCTGCATGGTCGCATTCACGGCCGTCAAGTCTTGTAGTAACCTCCATTTCCCTGAAGATTTTTTTATTACACATATAGGGGTATTCCAAGGGGACGTGGAAGGAAGCAAATGACCTGCCTCCAATTGTTCTTGAACTAGCTGGTGAGCCGCCCTTAGTTTCTCCGCTGGTAAGGGCCACTGTTCCACCCATACCGGATCATCTGATAGCCATGTGATGGGTATGGGGGCTGGCGGCGCAACAGTGACCCTCATCAAAAATGGCCAAAACCCTTCCTATCCCCTGGGGCCCTGGTCTCCAAAGGGAGGGATGCCACAGGGCAAACCTCTCCCTGTTCTAGTTTACCTAGTTCCCTCCCCGGGCTCCAGCCCCTCCCTTGTGTCATCTGGGGGCCCCTGCTTTTGGACTTGGGTGCCTGGGTGGTGAGGACCACTCCCATTTCTTGCATGAGGTCCCGTCCCCAGAGGTTAATAGGGAGGCCAGGCAAAACATATGGCTGGAAAAGCCCTGTGTGGCCCTCAGAGTCTTGCCACTTTAGGATTCTGAGGCTTTTTTTGGGGCACAGCCTGTCCTATTCCCTGGAGGGTCACTGTCCCTTCCTCTTTCGGCCAGGCGGGGGCCAGAATTTATCTGAGAGGACAGAGAAATCTGCCCCAGAATCTAAGACGCCCCTAAAGGACTTGTCTTCTATCTTTAATGTAAGCTGGGGGCGGTTCTCCATAGTGGATACCCAAAATGCTGCCGGGCCGGTACTTCCAAAACCTTGGTTGCCCCTTTTCTCTTTAATTTTTCTAGCCTCACAAGGAGCTGTAGGGAGGAGGAGTATCTGAGCAATCCGTTCTCCTGCAGGGATGGCAACAACCCCACTGCCCACTGATGTCATTATTTTAATCTCCCCTCACTATCCTGGTCTATAACACCGGGGTGTACCTGGATGCCTCGAAGAATAGTACTGGACCGTCCCAAGAGTAGTCCGACTGTGCCTGGGGGCAATGGCCCATGCACCCCAGTAGGGAGGGCCTGGATCCCCATTTCCGGTGTTAGGATTGCCCGGGCAGAGGGAGCGAGGTCCAATCCTGCACTCCCTGAGGTGGCTCTAAGGAGGTCTGAGATATGAAGGGGTTGCTCTGGGGGAGAAAATGAGTCCTGCCACTGCCCAGAGCAGGGGTCATTGCCCCGTACACATTGGTTTTGGGGCCCTGGGGCGGGGCCCTCCTCCCGTTTCCCTGATTATTATTAGCAGAAAGGAAATTTCCTCCCTGTCAGTTTTAGAGTAGCAGTTATTGGCCCAATGATATCCCCTTTGACAACGGGGGCATAAACCAGGTCTCTTGAGACCTGTAGTATTATTTTGAGGGCACTCTCTACGGAAGTGTCCCTCCCTACCGCAGCTAAAACATGTTTTTCTCCCTCCCAGAGTAGGTCTTTCTTTCCCCACTTGGGGCCGAATAGCAGCAGCTAACACTTGGCCCTGGATGAAGTTCCCATCAATGTCCCTACAGATCCGGATATAGTCATTTAGACTTTTATTGCGATAGGGGCGAAGGGCTTCCTTACAATACTTATTTGCGTTTTCAAATGCCATCTGCTTGATGACTGGCATCGCAGGCCCAATGCCCCCAAATATTCTTTCTGCTACCTGACTGAGACGGTCTACGAAGTCTTGAAAAGGTTCGGAAGGTCCTTGAAGGACTTTGGACAGATGATCCCCTCCTCCCTTGGAAGGCAATGCTTTCCAAGCCCCTTGGGCCGCTGCTGCCACTTGGGCATAGACTGCGATGTCATATTGTATTTGTTGCTGAGTGGTGGCGTATTGACCACTCCCGGTAAGCATCTCCACATTTCTCTGGGGCTGTCCGGCCTGTGCATTTCTTTGAGCTGTCTGGCTGCATCTTTCCTGAAACTCACCTCTCCAAATCAAATAATCTCCCCCCGACAGAGCTGCTCTGCAAAGCTGCTGCTAATCGCCAGGTGTCAAATTAAGAGACGCAAAAGATTCCATTAAGGAAAGTGTAAAGGGAGCCTGTGCTCCATAATTTAAAGTTGCCTCTTTAAGTTGTTTTATATCCTTAAAATTTAAAGGGTTATGACGCCTAATGACCTGTCCAGAATTGTTCGGATCTGGAACTTCCATTACTGGGGCCACCACCGGGCAGCATTGGACCCCTCCTCTGGGTCTTCCCTCCAGGTCCGAGAAGGACTGGGTTATCTCATAGGAGGAGTCCCTTTTTTCAGAGTATGGGGAAGGGTTTCTCTCCCTGTCCTGTCTTTCCTTAATTAGAATCTTTTTTAGTTCTTTTTTAAGGGCCGCGATCTCAGCAAGTAACCGTTCCTTTTCAGACTGTGACGAGTCTGAGTCTGAGCTACTTCCATTTTCTAGGTCTGATAGAGAAGGATATAACCGATTCTGACCGGAGTCCTTCTTTTTTGGGTCGTGCCCGGAGATTTCTACCCGTTTTTTTGTTGTTACTAAGAGACTCCTCCTCATCCACACTAACAATGGAGCCTCTAGTTTCAGCCAGGGTCTCTTCATCCTCACTCTCTGCCCCTGAACTCAAGGAGGCTTGAGTCTCAGTCTCTTGTAACTCTAAAAAAAGCCTCTTTTGTGTCCTGAACTACCTGGCGGTGACGAACCTTATCTGTCAAAAGTGCTCCCCTCACTAATCTCCATAAGGAGAATGTCGTAGGGGGCAAGGACTCAGATCCCTCTTTTCGTAAAAGTCTATGAAGATCACGGCGAACCTCCTCCCAATCTGGAATATTTAAGCTTCCCCCAGTAATGAACCATGGACTGGCTCGTTCGATGGATTTTAGAAAGCCTTCTAGGGTTTTAGACTTGACTGCAGTCCCATGTTCTTTAAGTAACTTTTTTAGTTGATACTGTAATGATTCTAGCTTCCCGGAACTATTCCCCATAGTTTCTTAACCCCATCCACTTACCTCCCTTTCACGATCTCAGTGGGACCTCCAATTGTCACGTCTGCTGCGCGGCCTGTGTCCGAGAACGTGCGGAGGGTGTCGGGGATTGACAACACAGAGACTCGTTCAATGATATAAAGAAAACTTTAAACAGGCTCCAAAAAGGTTCAAGAAAACCTCCTAAGAAAAGCTCCCACCAGAGAACCTTCTGCTCTCTCCTCTACCCTGGCTGGTTCTGCTCTGACCCCAGAGGTGGATGTGTGTGGGTTTTTGAAAGTGCGGTTAGTCTTTAGACAAGGTCGAGGTCAGGGCGGTTTCCATGGAAAGGCCTTTTCCAGGAACTTATTGTATCGTGTTTAGTAAACATGTTTTTACTAAACATTGTCTACAGCTGCCTACTCCCAGGCAGAAGGGGAAGTGGGTCTCTGATCAAGGTCTGGTGTTCCCACAGCTCTTTATTAAACCAGTGAAGGCAAGACACTATACAAAAGACTATTATTCTACAACAAGGAGGTCTATACCTGTCATCCTAGCACCTGAAGGTGAAGGCAGCAAGATTGCTCTGACAACTGAATTCCACCTTCCAGACACATAATAGCAAAAGGAAACAAGTCTGTCTGTCTGTCTGTCTGTCTGTCTGTCTGTCTGTCTGTCTCTCTCTCTCATACACACGCACACACACTGTGGTTCACAATGTGTTCTCTTGCAAATATGAAAGAAGAATAAAAACAGATAAATATATTTTTTAAACTGTCTTTAAAATAGTGTCCAGCCTAGAATTTACAGCACAGCAAATGGGCACTAATCTAATTTTCTCCAAAAGGTCAACAACAAAGCCTTATTTAGATCATCACATGTCTATCCAAATTGTGTTGATGTCTCCATCACAGTATACGATGAGCAACAATGCTGCAAACAACATTTTAATTTTAATAGAACTTAAAATAGCGAGGTCAAAGAACAAAAGCTCAAATGAGTGTTGGATACAGCAGAATTTGTCCATTCCAGAGAGGGAGCCGCCTGAGTCAGCCTTGGCCAAGAGCCTGGAGACAGGAAGTGTTCACGGAGTCCCCCGGGTTGTGGTGCTGTGGGACTGTTCAGGTTAAACACTGTTCATTACAACCTTGCATCCCAGGGGAAAAAACAATACCTGTTAAAAGAGGCATATGCCAGCCAGGTTACCTCTAGAGACCTCCTAAAGCTCTCTGAGGATGGAGCCTGAGAACTCTGTATTTCAAGAGCTTCCTCCTGCTGCCTCTTTTACTTCACTACAGGCAGAAGATATTTGAGGGTGAGGCGGGTTTTCGTCGGGCAGGGGTAGTTCCAGGTCCTTTGAAGAGGGAGGTAATTTATCAGGAGGAGAATTTTAACTTCAGCAGCTGCGATGGGTCAGGCGATTGCCATTCCTGGAGAGGCTTTGGAAAAATGACCGTTACAAATCTGTAAGCAAATGATCTGGCTACAGAGTAAAATGAAGAGATTAGCTAGGGAGGTATGTGGGTGGGTGGGGGGCGTGGGGAGTAGAGGCAGGAGAGACGGAACCAACTGGTGAGAAGTGGGTATATTGTTGATTCAGGGTGCCAAATGGCTATTCCCACTGCCAGAAGCCCTGCACCAAAATGAGCTAGCATCAGGGAGCTACAGGGCATCAAAGAAAGGCAACTGGAGTAAACAAAGGACTAAGGTAAAGAATTGTGTCTGGCCTGGAGTTTGTTATGTAGACAAAGCTGACCCCAAACTCACAGAGGTCTGCCTGCCTCTGCTTCTGGGGTGCTGGGATTAAAGGAGGGCACCACCATGCTTAGCTTTCCCTTTAGCTTTTGGGGGTTGTTCTGTTTTATTGTAGAGAGAGACAGGGTCTCTCCACACAGCCCTGGCCATTGTGGACCTCACAGAGATCTGTCTGCCTCTTGTCTCCTGAGTACTGGGATCAAAGGTATGTGCCATACACCTCACCCACCTTAGCTTTTGAGAGGTTCTTGCCGAACACTGAGCTCACAGATCCAGACAACCGACCCGGCCAGCGATCCTTGTGGATCTTCCAGTGTCTATAACCTCGGTCTGGATTTTTATGTGTGTGCCAGTGATCCAAACTCAAGTCCTCAAACTTACACAGCAAGCATTTTACTCGCCGGCTCTCCACCCCAGCTAGGCACTGAGGTTTTCATAAAATGTGCATGGATTAGTGTGCTAGGTTATGAAAGCCTGTCAAGGGAACCTACTTGGGATCGGAAGTTGATGGCTGAGAACACCCTAAAATGCTTTCCCGTTATCACACACATTCCTGTCTCTTTGGATACATCCGGCATCGCTTGCATGATCTGACACCCATCCGTTAAAGCCATCTTCAATGTTAGACTCTTGTTTCTAACCATGATAAAGAAGTATGTTTTATTTTAAACCTTCAAATCCCCTGTGTACACACCGCCTTATACGGGTCCCTCAACTGTTCTGCATGATTCTAGATCAGGAAGCGAATCTGTTACCAGGGACATCAGCTGAAACTCCAGTCTTGGAAACCCTCCTGTAATTCCATTTGATCTGAACCCCATTGTTTTTGTTTTTAAATTCTCCTTTTGAAGCCAGACACTCGGGTGCACATCTTTAATCTCAGCACTCAGGAAACTGAGGCAAGAGGCTCTCTATGAGTTCCAGGATCAGCCAAGAATACATTAGAGAGACCCTGTCTCAAAAAAACAAAAACAGGGTTACACTGGCCAGGGAATCAGGTAGGCAACCTTCATTCTCCACCCTCCCTTCCAATTCCAGCCACCTAGTCTTTTTTTGTTTGTTTGTTTTTGTTTTTTTAGTTTTACGAGACAGGGTTTCTCTGTATTGTTTTGGAGGCTGCTGGCCTCGAACTCACAGAGATCCGTCTGCCTCTGCCTCCTGAGTACTGAGGTTAAAGGTGTGTGCCACCACCGTCACTGCCCAGCCCAGCCACCTAGTCTTTTTTTTTTTTTTTTTTGGTTTTTTAAGACAGGGTTTCTCTGTGGCTTTGGAAGCTGTCCTGGAACTCACTTGGTAGCCCAGGCTGGTCTCGAACTTACAGAGATCCGCCTGCCTCTGCCTCCCGAGTGCTGGGATTAAAGGCGTGCGCCACCAACGCCCGGCTTGCAGCCACCTAGTCTTATCCACAGCTTTGTAGCAAACCATCTACTGTGGCCTTTCCTTCCTTTCTGCCCCCATACCCAGTAGGTCATGCAGATCTCCTACAGCCTTCCTTTATCCCACCATCCCTTTGTCTCCCTGGGAACCAGCCATCCACAGAGAATCAGATAAATAAATGATCTTCACTCTCCCACCTCTCCTCCAATTCCAGTCTCCTGTAGCAGACCATGTTCTGGGTCCTCTCCTTCCTGTCTGCCCCCATTCCCAGGGGTCTGTGCAAATGCTTGTGACACACCCAGCATTCCTCCCTCCTGTAGACTTCCTCAGAGCCCCACCTCCTCCTAGCCCATCCCCATTCCTTAGAGTCAGCCCCTGACACCTAGAAACATAATTAGACCAGGAACACCTGGGAGAATCGCAGAAGCACTCCTCACCAGGCAACCCAAAGGCATCACACTCTCCTAAGAACCAGAGAGGGCAACGGAATTCAAGGAATGAAACACTCACCAAGCAAACACACCAGCACCTAGAATTACATTTATCTCCATCTCAGAAGTGCCTAGACTGCAGTATAAAAGCACAATCAACAACAGTCAAGACAACATGCCGCCGGGCAGTGGTGGCGCACGCCTTTCATCCCAGCACTTGGGAGTTCGAGGCCATCCTGGTCTACAAAGCAAGTTCCAGGAGAGCCTCCAAAACAATACAGAGAAACCCTGTCTCGAAAAACCAAAAAAAAAAAAAAAAAAAAAAAAAAAAGCTGAGTGTACAGAAGTAAGAAAGAATATTAAAAGCTACAAGGGAATAAGACTAAGTAACATATAATATACATGTAAAATAATACTTTATTAGAATAAAACCTGATTTTTCAGTGGAAACTTTAAAAGCCAGAAGAACCTGGACAGATGTGCTACAGACTCTAGAAGACCACAGTCCAGACTACTATTCCCAGCAAAACTATGGTACTACTATGGAAAGAGAAAGACATTCTACAATAAAACCAAATTTAAGCAGTATTGATCCTTAAACCCAGCTATAGAGAAGGTGTTAGTAGGAAAACTTCAACCTGAAGTTTAGCATGTCCAAGAAAACACAAGGAATAAATAATATCAAACCAGAAAATCAAAAGTCAGGAAATAAACCCATACCACAACAACAAAATAACAGGAGTCAAGAAACATTGCTCGTTGATAACTCTCAGCATCAATGGTCTCAATTCCCCAGTAAAAAGACGCAGACTAACAGACTGTATTCAAACACAGGATTCAACCTTCTGCTGCTGCATCCAAAAACAAACAAACACATCAAAGACAACATTACCTCAGGGTTAAAATACAGAAAAAGATATTTCAAGCAAATGGACCAAAGAAGCAAGCCAGTGGAGACATTTTAAAATCTGACAAAGCAGACTTCAAACCAAAAACTCCTCAGAAGTGACAGGAAAGAACACTACATACTAACCAAAGGAAAAACCCACCAAGAGGACATTATAATTATTAACATCTATGCACCAGACAAAAGGGCACCTAAGTTTATAAAAAAAAAACACTACCTGAAATCATATATGGCCCTCATTAGATATTACAAACCAGACGGACCTAACAGATATTTATAGAACATTTCACCCAGACACAAAAGAATTCACCTTCTCAGTACCTCGTGGAATTTTCTCCAAAATTGGCCACTTACTTGGAAGCAAAACAAGTCTCAACAAATACAAGGAAATGTAAATAACACCCTACATTCAATCTGACCACCACAGTCTATCACTGGGTATCAACAACAGAAACAGCAGAAAGCCTACAAACTCATGCAAATTGAACAACTCTCTACTGAATGAAAAATGGGTCAAGATGGAAATTAAAAACTTTCCAGAATTAAGTGAAAATATAACAGATTCAGATTTATGGGACAGAAAGAAGTCAGTTCTTAGATGCAAGCTTATAGGATTAATTGCCTACATAAAAAGTCAGAGTAATCTAGGGCTGGGCAGTGGTCAGCCTTTAGTCCCAGCACTCGGGAGGCAGAGGCAGGTGTATCTCTTGGAAGTTAAGAGACCTGTCTACAAGAGCTAGTTGCAGGACAGCCTCCAAAGCCACAGAGAAACCCTGCCTCAAAAGAACAATAAATAAATAAATAAATAAATAAATAAATAAAATCAGAGTAATTGCATATTAGTAACCTCATATCATACCTGAAGGCTCTAGAACAACAAAAACATAATACCCAAAAGGAGTAGTGTAGCATGAATTCTAATTGGTATTAGTAATTAAAAACCCAGAGTCAGATAATTGGGGTGAAAGCTGAAAGATCAGAGAAGCAAAGCAGCAACCACTAAAGAGTTCTTACCTCTGCCAAGGCTCAGACCAAAGGGGCGATCCTGTCCTCAGACTGCATCCTCAGACTGAATATGCTGTACTCCAGTCTCCACCTCCTGAGTGCTGAGGTTAAAGACATGTGATCCCAAGGGCTGGGATCAAAGGTGTGAGCTCTGTTTCTGTTTTAGACTGGATGAAGCTTGTGTAACCCAGGCTGGCCTTGAACTCACAGGGATCAGTCTGCCTCTGCCTCCCAAATGTTGGGATTAAAGCCGTACACCGCCACGGCTGGTGTGTGCCACCACTGCCTAGCCTCTATGGCTGACTAGTGTGGCTAGCTTCACTTCTCTGATCTTTCAGGCAACCTTTATTTGCTACATCATAAGCAAAATATCACCACAGAGTGGACAGCAAGAAATAATCAAACTCAGGGCTGATACCCATGTAAAAGGACAATGAAATAATACAAACAATAAAACAAGGAGATGTTTCTTTGAGGAAATCTGCTGTTGTAAGCTGCCAGGCAGGTGCTGGGAATTGAACCCAGGTCCTCTGGAAAAACAGCCAGTGCTCTTAACCGCTGAGCCATCTCTCTAGCTCCTAGACACCTAATTTTTATGAAGGTCAGAAATACACATTGGTTGGGGGCACAGCGTCTTTAACAAATGGTGCTGGCCAAATTGTATGGCTGCATGCAGGAGAGTGAAAATAGTTCTATACTTATTACTCTGCACAAAATTTAATACATCAAAGGCCTAACATACAGGCAGATACAAGGAATCATATAGATGAGAAGTGGGGAGGAAGTCTTGAATTCATTAGCCCAGGAAAGTAGTTCCTGAACAGAAAACCAATAGCACAGGCACTAAGAACAATTAACAACCAGGAACCCAGCCGGGCGTTGGTGGCGCACGCCTTTAATCCCAGCACTCGGGAGGCAGAGGCAGGCGGATCTCTGTGAGTTCGAGGCCAGCCTGGTATACAGA